CACAGCTGTGCCACATTTGTGCGGGAACAGTGGAGATGCAGATGGCGTTTTTGTTGGTCTGTTCTTTGCTTTTTTTTGCGCGTTTTTTTGGGTTCACGTCTGGCAAGCCGTTGAGCCGTTGATCCATGGCTCTATTGTTTTACACTCGTGAACAGATGTTGGCGCTGAGCCGGGACAAGCCATCGTCGTAAGAGAGACCAGACATCCCTGATGAGCTCCGCAGTAGGAAGAGGGGATGCAGGGCAGGAGTGAAGCATCAGAAGAAGAGAAGACGCTACATGTCTTCTGTCTGTCCATCATCATGGGAAACGTGAGGTCTCTCCCTAACGGGCTGGAAGAGCTAACAGCTCACAGCGCTGACCCAGCTGCAGTGGGAGTATCAGGAGTGTAGCCATGTGTTGTTCACGGAGTCATGGCTGAACGAACTCACTCCGGACTCGCTCGTAACTTTGGACGGATTTCACCTGGTCAGAGCTGACCGGAGCTTGACGGAGAGTGGTAAGAAGAAAGTCAGGGGACTCGTCATGTATGTGAATGAGAGATGGTGCACCGCTGCACGAAGGATGTTGAACTGCTGGCGGTTGGTTTGTGGCCGTTTTACCTGCCGAGGGAGTTTTCGCACGTCCTGGCGATTGCAGTTTATATCCCCTCCTTGGCTGATGCTGCTGCAGCCTGTAAACTCATCCATAGTTCAGTGTCCCAGCTGCAAACATCATACCCTCAGTCTCTGATCGTCATCTCAGGAGACTTTAATCATACATCGCTCTCTACCACTCTCCCCACATTCAGCCAGTATGTGGACTGCCCAACCAGAGATGGTGGGGCCTTGGATCTGTTGTGTGCGGACACCAGGATGCATATTACTTAATTATTGTTATTTTCTTGTACTTTCTTACTGTGTTTGTGAATGCTGCTGTTTAAAAATAATTTCCCACGTCTGGGATAAATAAAGTCTATTCTATTCTGTTCTATTCTATTCTATTCTATTCTATTCTGTTCTATTCTATTCTATTCTATTCTATTCTATTCTATTCTATTCTATTCTAAATCCATTTTCCAGAAGTAACACAAGGGTGTATGTAACAGCATGAACAGGACGCAAAGGGTACCCAACCTACACTGCAAGCAATCATCACCTCTGGGGTTGCTTTTCCTGCTTCCTCCATTCTCCTGCATAAAATCACCTTCATCCTGATCGAACAGAATTTGCACACCATGATTCCGACACGTTTTCCTCTCTGGTTTACATCTTCATAGAGGGAAGGATTCACACTGCAGCAGGATAATGACCTCAAACACATCTCAAAACTTTGCAAGTACTTGAAGACCAAAGAAAACCAAGGAGTGCTGACTATGACGGACTTTTATTTACAGTCACCTGACCTCAACCCTGCTGAACATTTTTATGGGTACTTGAAAACTGAGAAATCTGACCGTGAAACTTTTTCTTTCTTTCTTTCTTTTTTTTTTTTTTTAAACACAAATTGTTAGCTGATATTATTCTGATATGTGAAAATGAGTGGCTACAGGTCTGCTGCTACAGTGAACAGCATTTTAGCTGGGTACCACTTCAAAATACAAACAGAAGTCCTCTTTGTGCAGCTAGCACTTAGTGAAGCAAGACTATGGATAACAAAATTAAAGTGAACCACAATACATGTGACCCATTGGTATCATGTGGCTCACTGATGTGTTTTAATCAGTTTTGGAAAATAAGGGAGTCATACTGCACAGAAGAATAAGAAATATAAACCTATGGATACATAGGAAAAGCATTCTTTGCAGGATAGATTTATTGTTGGTTTTGGACTTGATTTGTAGACTCTAAGTCAGGGTTCTCGCCAGCGTTATAACAGGCAGGTAAGCTGCTGCCTGAAAAAATTACGCTGCAAATTGGGCCGATGCGTTGTTTTCAAGAGTTCGTAACGGGAAAATATCTAACAACAAGCGCCGATGGAGTTTCACGACCGTCGTCTTCACTGCTAACGCTGCTATTCACTCGTGTATTTGCCACTAATCTTTAACAGCATTCAGTAAGACCACTTATTTTCCACTGATGAGCACAAAATGTGGGGATCCTATAGATTAATAGATAAATGGCTAAATTGATCATTGTGTACCAAATGCCAACATTATGAACAGACCACAGCAGCATCCAGTTTGCAGGCAAAAAGTGCACACATAGTGTAATAGATACAAATTTGGCAGGTAGATCAGAAAATGTCCTCCATCTAGATACACACCAAACTTTGCTTCTGCACTGAATTTCACAGCAATGGTCATCAGTCTGAGAGATTTGAAAGGAAAAGTTAAAGTCTTATGAAGGGCAGAGGTTTGGTCAACATAACAAAATGCAAGTAATAATAATAACTAATCAGATTTATATAGTGCTTTTCTAGACACCCAAAGTCGCTTTACACTGTCAATATTCATTCACACACATTCATTCCGGTGGTGGTAGCTATGATTATAGCCACAGCTGCCCTGGGGCAGACTGACAGAGGCATGGCTGCCATTCTGCGCCTACGGCTCCTCTGACCACCACTTCAAACAATCCATTCATACACATTCACACCAGGCAAGGTGGGTGAAGTGTCTTTCCCAAGGACACAATGACCATGACACAGTTACAAGGCGGAATCGAACCGCGAACCTTCCAATCATTGACCAATTCGCTCTACAACCTGAACCACAGCCACCCAAGTAAAGTCAAACAACATAAACGGCAAAGAAAAGTCTGCTCTTATAACGTGATAGCCTGATGGAATTGAGTTATGGCAACAAGTCCTCTTTCTGCTGAAATGGCCGCTGCTAACAGCTGACAGTGAATGTCATTGCTGGTAAACAGAGTAAATTGTGCCTTGGAGTTTTTGTAATTGAATTTGTAAACGTCATCGGATTACCCTATAATGTGATACGCAGATTCAGAGGGAGTTGCAATTTACAGAAGGGTCGAACTACTATGAAATTGGCACCATTACGGCACACAGACACACACAAACACAAACCACATCATTAACCAGTCCTCCTATTTCACATTGCTTCTGGGGTTGCTGCTCCTGCCTCTGAGGAAGTTGAGATGTGTGACTACAAACCTTAGATGGTATTTTGTTACAAAGTCACCGTGGAAACAGTCTTCACACTTGGGCTGATTATTCTAACGTCTTCATGACATGACCTGTCAGGATTTTAACATCCTTTAGAAAGCTTCACAGAAAGCTGGTGAGGCATCCTTTATCCACATAATAGTGGCTATAGTGAAGGATATAAAACTATAAAATAAACACACTATGAAGCACATTTTCAAGAGCCTCTGGGGCTCACTTGACAAACAGCAGAGCTTTTACATTCATACAGGGTATGTAAATATATCAGGGAAGACACATAGCAAAGAAGGATGAAAATAACAGAAGGGGAAAAAAAAAAAAAAACAATCTTTGTGGATATTTCAGGATTGTGCGAAATCTATGTAGGTGAATTGCACAGAAACAACAGGCCTCTGAGCAGATTCTAGGATTTGTCACCTAAGATTTTCATCAGCAAGGTAAAAATAATTCACTCAGCACTACTATGTAGAGGATACATGTACATTAAAACAAAGTTTCATCATTTTATTGCTTTCAAAAACTGTCAACTCTCAAGCAAACACATGCAACCATGTGTGCCACTGTGCAGCGCCAAAACAACACATGATACCAATATCTAATCCCATGAACTCCAAAACCTGCCAACAGATTTAAATGGAATGTGTTTTGTTTGTTAGTTTTTGTTAGTTTGTTTGTGCTTTTTTTTTAGGGCTAGGACTTTAACGCATACATTTCGATTAATTAATTACAGAAAACACAAGGC